GCACAGAAACGACTGCATCTAGCAGTGCGAAATTTGGTAGGAAAGTGTCCGACCTACACTGCACCAGCAAACGGTTTATGATACACCCCACATTTTAGGAGGGAGCTTCGTCTGAAAAGTGGGTGTCAGGACATATGAAAATGCTTATAACTCAAAAACTATTCAACATATTTACCTATTTACATTTACCTTTGATGAAGTGCTATCCATACCAATGAGTGTCCCCCCCCCACCCCCACCATCCAGACCCCAACCCAAAACAATAAATTCATTCTGGTGACTTCTGAGTTATGGTGCTTTGGATGTATGCTTTAAAGTACACTTAACAAAAATATAAATGCCCCATGTCAAATATTGTTGCCATGGTGAATTAACAACAGTAAATGAGCATTTGCTGACATTTTATTGTGCAAAGGTAATATTTCTCTTGATTTGTGTATGATCATGTCAGTGAGGATTACTCAGTGAGTTGTTTTTTTACCCAGTGCATGGGTGGGGCATATCCAGTGGGTGATCAAACAAAATAAGCAACAGCTTGACAATCCTTGGACTGGAGTCAATAAAAGGCCACCCCAAAATGTCAATTTTGTCACGTCATAATGATGTCGCAAGTTATGCGGGAGCATGCCATTGACATGTTGGATGCAGGGATGTCTACCAGAGCAGTAGCTGCAAGGAATTCCTTCAAACAGAGGATGTTGAAGTTCTGGACTGGCCTGCATATCCACCAGACATGTCCCCAATAGAGCATCTTTGGGATGTTGTGGATAGGTGTGTCCAGCACCGTGTTCCTGTTCCAGGCGATGTGGGTCAGCTCCGCGTGGCACTCCAGGAGGAATGGAATAACATTCCACAGGTCATCATAGACAATCTGATCAACTCCATGAGAAGAAGATGTGTTGCTCTGAGAGATGCAGCTGGTGGACACACAAGATACTGAAAAATCAAATTCCTCAACCTGACCCTTATCATGTTCAAAGGACTGTCAATCTGCTACAAATGGCCATACCACGATGTTATCAAGGCCGATATGAAGATCAGTAGTTACTGAAAATATACTGTATTTTGAGTTTCTCTATATGTTGCGTAACAAATGTTTATAAAACTCTTGTATTTGACATTGGGCATTTATATTTTTGTTAAGTGTAGTTTATTTCAGTATTTATTTTTAAAAGTAAAACTTCTACATCTATTAGAATATTACAAACAGTCAATAAAAATATTTTTAACACAGAAATGTTAGCCTATTGAAATGTGTACACATGTACTGTACAGTATGTGCACTCAGTACATGGTCAGGGCTTGTTTTTTTCATTAATTACTGCATCAGCCAAAAAACACACACACACACACACACACACACACACACACACACACACACACACACACACACACACACACACACACACACACACACGTTTGCTCTTCAACCCCGTGGGGACCTTCCATTGACTTACATTCATGTTATTTAGACTATATAGCTTAATCCTGACCAAATACCTTAAAATTAACCTCACAGGTGCCTACCTGACCCTAAAACTAACCTAAACCTTGGTCCTAAACCTAACCCCACACCTGTAATTTGCATTTGGACCCGTGAGAACCTGCCAGTGGTCCCCAGCAGGCTGCTTTTTTGGGAAAATTTTCCCCACATTGTAGAAAAAACCTGTGTACACACACACACACACACACACACAC